AACATTAGAAAAAGTCGCGAAGACAATGGAACTCCAGGTCAACGTAACCAAAACAAAATACATGTAGGTCACGAACAGCGTACAAATAGCGGCACCACAAGACCTGGTAACAGAAGCACACACATTCGAAGGGGTCTCGGAGTTTATATATCTTGGAACACAACTAAATAACAGCAACCTAGTAAGCGTAGAAATTAAGAGAAAAAAATACCTGGGGAACAGAGCTTACTTTGGACTAAAGCAGTTCTAAACATCACACATAATTAGCAGAAAAACCAAGATACTAATATATGAAACTCTTATGAAACCTATCCTGACATACGCGTCAGAGACATGGGCTATGGTAAGAAGCGACGACGAACTGTTAGGCCGCTTTGAAAGAAGAATACTTAGGCTCATATATCAGCTCAGGCGCTACAATTTTGAGTTGTATCAATGTTATGAAAAATGCAACATCGTCCGGTCTATTAAAATTAATAGACTAAGGTGGCTAGGACACCTTGAAATAATGGACACTGGAGACCCCCAAAGACAGATATTATATCAAGAGCTAGTACGAACCAGGAAGAGAGGCAGGCCAAGATCTAGATTTAAAACTCAAGTCGAAGATGACTTGAGTAGTCTAGGGGTCAGAAATTGGAAAGCCAGGGCGAAAGATAAGGGAGAATGGAGACTAATTCTTGAACAGGCCAAGACCCACCCAGGGTTGAAGAGCCAAAGATGATGATAAAACAGTAAGTTCTGGGAAAGCTGCATTTCTATGCCGAAAGTTTGCCTGTAGAACCCTCTTTGGGGTCATTGAAACCTGCTTGAGACAGATGAAGAGTCCTCTACCGTAGTCGTTTCTCCAATCGTTTCTTCTACATTTTGTCTCTCCATCCAGTGTTCTTCCCACCAGTTGGAATGAAATACTGTCAGGCACAGCAGTGCTCCTTTATCGTTATCATCATGATCATTAACTAGCCTTTATTTATCCACTACTGAACGTAGGCCTCCCCTAAAATTTTTCACCGATTTCTATCTTGAGCTTCTTGCATCTAATTTGTGGTAATTTGCTTTATATCATCCGTCCATCTAGTCGGTGATCGTCCTTTGTTTCGATGTCCCTCTTATCTTGGTCGTCATTAAAAAATCTTTCTTATCTATCTATCATCTGTCAATCTGGTAGCACGTCCGGCCCATTTAACTATGGCTATTTTTTAACTGCATCCATTAACAACATTGCTCTTTCCATAGCGTGTAATTCTTATTTTATTTATTGTACCTTTTATTAGAGTTAGTGATTCTGTACCATATGTAAAAACCGGTAAAATACATCGATTTAAAACCTAGCTTTATAAACAAACTCGAATATTAGACTTGAAAATGTTGTTCAATCTACCAAAGGCAGCCCATGTGAGACCTATCCTTCTTTGTATTTCAGTTGTCTGATTATCTTGACCTACGCGAATCTCATGTCCTAGATATTTTGTAAGCTCTTACTTGGTCAATGCTATGGCTTTCCATCTGAATTTTCTCGCTGACTACATAAATTTTGTCTTTGAGGTGAGGAGTAATTTTAAGACTCTTTGTTTTTGATGCTTCATAGATCGTTTCCAGTATTTTTGTAGCTTTATCAACTCTATTAGATATTATAAAGATGTCATTGGCAAATCTTTGGTGGTTTATTTCGGGAAGATAGTATCATCCTGTCTAATTTCACGTTCTATTCGAAACTTTTGGTTCATTAAGTCGACACAAGCTGTACCAGTTTCGTAGCTAGTCTTAAGGTAATATATCGGTAGTCGAAGCGGCAGTCAGCCAATGTTCGAAACATTTTATGATGATCTATAGTAGCAAACATATTTTCATAGTCTATGAATATAAGAAAGATAGGCTTGCTATATATGTCTACTTTTTTCTTAGCGTTTTAATAACTTGTAAAGTACCATTTGTTCAGTATCTGGAGCTGGACCCAGCCTGTTAGCAAGGTTAGTAACGATCCAGTTTGTTCACAAGTCATTTTGTTTTTATCTTCATGAATAGTTTGTGCGTATGGGAGAGCAAACTAATATGTCTGTAGTTATTTAAGTCTGAAATGTCATCTTTTTTATGCACTAAGGTTATTATTGCATTATGCCATTGAAAATGGGTTACTCCTCTTATCAATTAAACATTGAATATCTTTTTCAACACATTTATTAACGTTTTTCCTGTTAATTTGATTTGTTCTATGACTATCCCATCTTCTTCAGGTGATTTATTGTTATTTATCTCCGAGAGAGCTCTTTTTATTTGCTCTGTTGTGATATCTGGGATGTCTTCTGAGCCTACATATTGGGCTTTTGGTATTTGTCTTTAATTATTGCTTAAGGCAACATTTTTTCCCATGTATCATGTATCCTAGGATACGATGGTATACACCTCGGGATTGGAGAGCGTAGTAGTTACAACACAAAGCTGGTCGTCTGCTGAGACAGTTATGATGCGACTGTCCGGTGATTTGCCGATTTATGTATGTAGGTATGTATGTGTGAGTGTGTATCATATTCAATCAATAAATCTACTGTTAATGGTAAGCTGCAGCCCCATCACCTACAGGTCTTTGTTTGATTGTTTCTTATTCACACCTGTCCTATGGCTCTGTGCCCACATACGTTCTCTTTTACCCATTGGGACATGCCGTGTTGGTATGAGAACTTAACCATCTAGTCAGTCCTGTGTAGAATACTGGTGAACTTAGGCTCGAATTTAATTACTTCTTTAATATTGTTAACAGCATTTTGAAATATTTTTTAGTATAGGTTTAATGGAAATTAAACTGCCAAAGTAAGAATTGACAATCAGAACACCCGAGATATTAAAATATAGATGCGTCCGCCAGAGTTGCGTGCTGTCACCTCTACCCTTTAATGTCTACAGTAAAGCTGTATTTAAAGAATTGCTCTAAGATTAAGGAATATATATTAATGGAGAAGTTTTGAATAACTGGCGTTTTGCAGACGATACAGTAATATTGACGGATAACACCGATGATTTACAGAACGTAATGCAATCCCTGAATAAATGCTATCATGAATCTTCTTCTTCTTAAAGTGCCCTCTCCTCAATGGAGGTTGGCTACTACAATTTTAAACTCTTCTCTATCTTCAGCTGTTCTTATTAGCTGTTCAAAATTTAGCATAGACCTGAGTCGGAATCCGCAATTAACACTGTATCATCGGCGTATCTGATACTGTTGATATTTACGCCATTCACCTTGACTCCATCCTTGGAATCCTCCAATGCTTCTTTAAATAGAAACTCGGAGTAAAGATTAAACAGCAGAGGCGACAGAACACATCCCTGTCTAACTCCCCTCCTAATTTCTACTTCTGCGGATGTGGAACCTTCGATCCTAACTCTGGCTTTTTGGTTCCAGTACAAGTTTTTTAAGAATTTGATGTCTTTTCCATCTAAACCGACTTCTTGCAAACGTTCTAATAGTAGGTCGTGTCTTACTCTATCAAATGCTTTTTCGAAGTCTATAAAGCATATAAATATATCTTTCTGTTGGTCGTAGCATTTTTGGGCGAGAACTAGTAAACTGAACAGGGCTTCTCTCGTTCCCATGCCGGCTCTGAATTCAAACTGATCGTCTCCGATGATTGTTTCGCACTTTCTATAGATAGGATTATGTACGATTTTTAGTAGGACTTTTACAGCATGACTCATAAGGCTTATCAGACGGAACTCATTGCAGTGTTGTGGGTTTGGCTTTTTTGGTAGTGGGATGAATATTGACTCCAGCCAATCTTGGGGTATTTTACCTGTATCATAAATGCGATTGAATAAAAGGACAAATAATTCGATATTTTCTTCGCTGATTAATTTGAGCGTTTCTGGTATATTCCGTCTGGACCTGGGCTTTTATTTGTTTTGAGATGATTAATTGCATTTATGATTTCAGATTTCAGAATTGTTGGCCCTTCGTTGTTATTTTCCAATCTTGGTTCTTCTCGTATGTCGTGAAAAAGAATTTTAATATAGTTTTCCCATTCTTTCAGTTTATCTTCCGTTGATTCTAGCAGTTTGTCATCCGTGTTCAGCATGGTGTGAAAAGTCGTTCTCTTGGTAGTCGATGTAAACTCTTTTACCTTTTTATGTAAATTAAAAAAATCGTGCCTATGTTGCAGTTCTTCTATTTCAACGCATTTTGTTTCCAGCCATTTCTCTTTTGCTTCGGTTATTTTTTTTCGAATTATTCTATTTAGTCTTTTGTATTCTACGTCCTTGTCATTTTTTCCTTTAGATTCTCTTCGTTTGCTATCATGAATACGGACTAAAAATTAGTTTGAGGAAAAACTAAATACATGATCATGGCCAAATCAGCAGATGCAAATATCCAATTGATTGTAGAAAATACTGTAATTAAGAGTGTCGATACCTACTAATACTTAGGAATATGAAAAACATCAAATGTAGATCAAACCAAAGAAATTAAGAAGCGTGTTGAAAATAGCATGTGCATAATTCATTAAACTTAAAAAGTTTCTTTTCTGTCAGGATATAAGGCTAGAACTACGCCTAAGGATGCTTCGGTCTTACGTATTCAGTACCTTTTTTAAGGCTTGGAATCATGGACAATAAAACAAGTGCATCTGAATAAGTTAGCCGCCTTTAAATTTTGGTGTTACAGAAGAATCCTGAGAATATCATGGACTCAAATAATGTCAAACCCAGAAGCTACTAGAAGAATAGGAAATGAAGCTGAAATATTGTTGACTATCAAAAGAAGAAAACTTGAGTAATTAGAACATGTGATGAGCAAGCCAAAATAATTATTATTGCATCTTGTTATGGAACAAAATTCAGGGAAAGCGAAATGTGGGAAAAGGAAGAATATCTTGGCTTAAAACTTGTGGGAGTGGTTTGAATGCAGTAGTGCAAAACTATTTAGAGCGGCAGTCAACATAATCTACATACACATGATGATTTCCAACCTTCGTTCTAACCACTTACTAATAATAACTAACTAATAAATGCCTGCCAAAAATCGTTTGCGATTGGTTGTCTGGTTGGAAAAGTTCGGTAGGTGGGGGTGAAAATACATCATTTGGCGCATCTCAACATTACTGAAATTTGTTTTATATGAGTAAGCTTTAACGATAAAAAAAGTTTTTTTTTGTCAATTGACTGAGTTTAATGCTACTATGATGTTTTGAGTAATATTTATTGCGAAGTAATTATATTTTCCACATGATATAGTTTAGTATTGTTTATTATCGATATAAATAAAGGTATTGGAATTACATAAATGATTTTGTTACAGGAAGTTGTTCTGAAGACGAGGAACGGCTAGTTCGTGACCTTTTTAGGGGTTATAACAAGCTTATTCGACCCGTACAGAATATGACGGAAAAAGTGGACGTTAGATTTGGTCTAGCCTTCGTTCAACTCATCAACGTCGTAAGTATTTATTTGCTGCCCGTATAGCCTCTCTTGTTCAGTTGATTTATTTCATGCTTTTTATAGATAATAATGTTTAAAAATATCTGTTTTATTTGTGTATTAAAATATATGTAAGAAAATAAATAAATATATAGTACGGAGCATTATTTTTGTTTACATTTGTAAACTTACCACATTTATTTGGTGTTGAGAGAACAATAACAAATAGAGTAAACTAACATTGTTAACTAATAGCCTAATAGTGTCAAAAAGTAAACCTGCAAGTACTTCTTCTTCTTCTAGTTCCATGACCGTTATCGGTTATCGTTGAATATCATGTTGGCAACCATATTCGCTATCGTGACTTTATTGATAGCAGCTCTAAATAACGATGTAGTTGATTTTCCATACCATTGCCTTAGATTTTTTAGCCATGATGGTCTTCTTCTATCAGGACCACGATTACCTTATATCTTTCCCTTATTGATTAGATGTAAAAGATCATATTTTTCAGGGTGTCTCATAATGTGACCGAAGTATTCCAGCTTGCGTTTCTTTATTATATTGACCAGTTGTGTTGTTTGGTTCAGCCGTCTAAGGCTGAACGCCTTAGGCGCCATTTTTACAAAGGCAGCTCGGGCTTGTTCTATTCGTCTTTTAATTTCTGCGGTTGGATCCTAGCTCTCATTGATATTACTGCCGAGATATACAAGTTTCTATACTCTGTCCAGTGTGACATCTCCGACTTTTATACCGCCATCCTGTATATAATTTTGTTTGTTAACTATCATATATTTAGTTTTCTTAACGTTGAGTTTTAATCCATACTGATCACAAGTCTGTTTTATTTTGTTCATTAGATTTTAAAGGTCTTCTCCGCAATTAGCAAGCACTAAGGTATCGTCGGTATATCTAATATTGTTGAGGGTTACTCCATTCACAATAATACCTTCGGTTGTCTCCCTTAAGGCTTCCTTAAATATTTCCTCCGAATATAAGTTAAAAAGTAAAGGCGACAATATACAGCCTTGTCTCACTCCTCTTTTTATATTTATTTCATCCGACAGTTCTTGTTCAACCTTTATTCTTGCCACTTGATGCCAGTATAGATTTGTAATTATTCGTAGATCTTTATCGTCCAATCCAGCTGTTTCCAATATTTCTAGCATTTTGTTATGTCGGACTTTGTCAGAAGCCTTTTTCAAAATCGATTGCACAAATTTACACATTTTGATTTATATCTCTGCATCTCTGTACTAGCACATGTATACTAAACAAGGCTTCTCTTGTACCCAAGCCACTCCTAAACCCAAATTGAGTATTGCTAATTCTGTCCTCTAACAGCGTGTAAATTCTGCTGTGTATTACTCGCAGGAAGATCTTCAAAACGTGACATATCAGACATGTCTTTGAACGATGTTTCTTAGGTATTGTAACAAATGTCGACTTTAACCAATCAATTGGTAATATCCCAGTGTCATAAATTCTGTTCAAGAGATTACACAGAGCTTTAATTCCATTTTCTCCCAAAAACTTTAGTATTTCAGCACTTACTTTATCGGGGCCAAGTGCTTTTCCATTTTTTGCCGTTTATATTGAACGTGTAACCTCACTTTCTGTTATAGAGGGACCTGATATAGCAATCGGTGTATAGTGTTCTACTCTCTCATCTTCAAATAATTCAGAAATGTAGTTTTCCCATCCTTTTAACTGTTCATTGATGTCTAATATTCTGTGTCCGTTTCTGTCTTCTAAACTTTGGGATACTTGTTTCAGTTTGTTTTTAGCGACCTCTTTTAATTTCTTGTGCAGATGAAATATATCGTGTTTCTTTTCATATTGTTCAATTTCATTACATTCTTTACTATGAAATTGTGTTTTCGCGTGCCTTATCTTCTGCCTGATTATTGCGTGGATCCTCTTGTAATTGTTTTTATCTTTATTTCTAACTTCTCTTCTTTGATTCATAAGTCTCGGTATTTCTTCTGTCATCCACTCTTGTTTTTTTCTGTAAACAATGATTAGGACAACTTTATGGTAAAGCCGTAGCTTTATATCGACAAGGAGAAGGGGTACAGGGCTTATCTTGGTGGCATGTTTTATTGCTGGTTAATGGCTGTTGATTAACTAATCCCCAAAAACTACTCCATATCCTAGCTTTAAATACAGAAAAAACCGAAATATCGGCCAAGAAGCGAACCGCAAGGAATTGATTACTAATTTATTGCCGAAGTATTATGCCAAAAAATAATATATTGCTGCAACTGTTAATTGCTGACCTCACTATCCCCTTAGAGCAAAACACATTCCTGGAAAACTCGAGATATCGGCCAAAAACGTTGAATCCAGAAAAGTGAATCGCTATGATTATTTAGTTGCTTAGTGAAATTTGTTGTTGCTATGAAATATTTGTTAAGTGAAATTTCTTGAAATTTTTAAAGCTGAATTCATGTGATATTCTCCCTATTGTCACCCAAAATTAAAGTTTTTTGAGCATTTGTTTAAAAATTATTAATACTTTTCAAAAAACGACTTTTAAAGCTATTTTTGCAATAAATAAGCAACAAGGTAACAAAAATAACTAGCAAACTTAAAGAAATTTCTATGCTTTTTCAGTAAAATTGTCCAGTCTTCAGCTTTAAAGTTCAGATTATTTTTGATAACTATGGTCTACGACGGGAATATATTTTGTTTCGATACGGAGTAGTGGCTATACCATTCTGAGGAGACCTAAAGAGGTCGAAATACCTATAAGCGGCTTATCGAATCAAAATCTAGTACCGTAATTATGTTTTATTTCTTCCGAATAAAGATTGAACAATAAGGGGGAGAGTATGTAACCTTGCCCTACGCCTCTTTTTATCTCTACTTCCTCCGAAAGTTCTTTGCCTACTCTGACTTTTGCTGTTTTGTTAAAGTAGAGATGAGTTATTATTCTTAACTCTTTTTTGTCAATGTGTTTATCTTTAAGTAACTGTATAAGACGGTTGTGTCGGACCTCTTCGAATGCCATATTGTAATCAATAAAACAAATATAGAGTGGTAGGTTTACATCCATACATCTTTACATGAGGACGTTAAATCCAAATAATGCCTCTCGTGTACTGTACCCATGGCATCTTCTCTCCATCTGTTTAGTTTGCCTTTGATATCAGATATTATTTTACCATTCGTATCAACCAGGGTGTTACTATGGTTGGACCGTCTTATACCTGCTAATTCTTAAATTTTTTGTGCAATTCAAAACTATTATGATTTCTCTGGAATTCTTCTATCTCTAAACATTTCGAAGTGGATTTCGAATTGTACGATTACTGGATTGTGGTGTGATGACACATCTGTTCCTGGATATGTCTTTGCCGATTTGATGAAATTACGGTATCTCTTATTAATAAGAATATAATCTATCTGGTTTCTGATAATTTTTTCTTTGCTATCCGCAAGTGATTTCCATGTATATACCGTGGTGGTAACTGATTCAAACTCCCGACAGAATTCCGTCAGTCTTTCCATTCTTTCGTTCCTTATTCCTAGTCCGAATTCACCAATAATGTCTTAGACTTTACCTTTTTCTAATTTGGCATTAAAATCCCCCATTGTTATTGTTATATCTCTATTATTGGTGCTGTCTAGTGCTTTTTTAATGTCATTGTAGAACTCTTCTATTTCATTTTAATGTTTATCTGCAGTGGGGGCGTACACCTGTATGATATTAAGAATTATATGCGCTGTTTGGGCTATGATCATTAACACTCTATCCGATATAGGAACAAAACAAGTTACAGCCTGGCAAAAACTGCGATTAACCACTATCGCAACGCCATTATAGTGATGAATATCTTCATTTCCTGAGTAATATATTTTGGTACCGTCTAATTCGATTTCGCCAGATCTAGGCCATCTGGTCTCGCTTAGTCCCATTATATTGACTTTAAGTCGCCTCATCTTTCCTGCTTCATATACAGACTTCACATTCTAGGTACCTATCTGCAGTTCGTTTATATTTTTGTGCCTGATGCGGGGTTTTCGCATGTTGGCGACCTGGGAGGCCCCGCAGTCTAACTGAGCATTGCCTCCCCTACCGGATCTTGGTATCCGATGTCCATGATCAATAGTTGTGAAATTGTCATTTATAATTGCCATGATAATTGGCAAGAGACATATATTTAAAGATCTTTAATGTAGTGGTTTCTCGTTGCCTTCTACATCCTTCTGCCATTGACCACTTCTTTGCTTCATCCGGCTTTGGAGTCGATTTCTCAACTTCAGGACAAAAAAGTGCCCTATCACTTACCAACGCATCCGCCCGTAGCCGTTGGTCAGTAAGTGAGATATTGCTTATACCGGAAATCACTCGGTCTCTATATGCATTGGCCATCTGTAGATAAATGTTGTTCTACCACGTGGATGGTTGCAGATTTGGATTTTTCTTTCATTGGGATTAAGACCTTTCGGCATTTCCTCATCCCTCTAGAGCTTTAGAAGATAATATTTCATCTATATTGTTATAAAAGTTTTTAATTTCTTCCTCTGATTTGTCACTTGGAACATAGACCTGAATAACATTTAGGTTTCTGTGGGTTGTTCTTAATTTCAACATCGCTACTTTATCATTTAGAGGGATGAAGTCTATGACTGACTACGCAATTTTGTGCGATACTAATATAGCCATTCCATATTAATGTTCTGGGTCGGTTTCTCCTGACTAATAGATAATCTATCTTTTGTTTTTTTTTCCTGAACAAGGCCATCTTACTTCATTCATCTCCAAGATATCTATTTTTATTCTTCTCATCTCATCTTCAGTGTTTGCAAGTTTTCCAGACATGAATAAGCTGCGTACGTTCCAGGCAATACGTAATATCCTGTCATATATTCTGACTTGTAAAGGTTTATTATTGTTATCATTCATCCTTTCTTATTTTTAACTCTATAGTGGAATATAGTGAAATATAAATCCACGAAAACTAACTGCTTGCTAGCTAACTAACTAACTTATTATTATAATATATCATCCATATTTTATTATTTTGAATTTTGAACTATTTATTAAGAATTGTAATAAACTTATAATATTAATGTTTTTTTCAGAACGAGAAAAATCAAATTATGAAATCAAACGTCTGGTTGAGATTGGTAAATTCCATAAATTTTAGTACTTGACAGCTTTATTAATGTTGGTGTTTTAGGTATGGAATGATTACCAACTTCAATGGGATGAGGCTGACTATGGAGGAATTGCTGTACTCAGGTTACCACCTGACAAAGTCTGGAAACCAGACATAGTTTTATTTAATAAGTAAGTTACCGATACGCTAAAATTATATAAGTTTAGTTGATAAAAACTCAAAATGTAAAAAAACCACAAAATTCGTTGAGTATCTTGTTATCTTACGAGGATTGTGGGATAATTAGGAACGTGACAAAGAAACACTCCAGCCCTCTCACCACACTTATTTTTACTATATTGCAAATAAGTAATTGCTTTCTGTTGAAATATAATTCTGTAAAAGAATTGTACAGAGTAATAAATTTATACCATGAAGAAATTTCATAGCCGTACCAAAATATGTATAAGTCTTAATATTATTACAGATTGGAAAATAAAGAATTCATACTAATATAATAGGCCAATTAAGTTAGTTTTTTACTAGACACAACTATATGGACGGATTTGACAGTTGAAATGTGAAATACAAAAAGACTCTCATCTTGAGATTTATCAGTTTTTAGTGAAAATATTTTTCAATAAACAATTAATACGTCAAACTAAATATTTTGCAAAAATTGGGCACCGCAAAATGAACAATAAAATAGCTGTTTTTGAAAAATGTTAATAACTTTTTTATTATTTCTTAGTTTAAGAAATTAAGGTTGTATGATAATGTAGTAAATACATATCATCTGATGATGGAGATTTTGTTACTAAGTGATAAATTGTGACTTCTGAAACTTGCTTTCCCTATGCGTTGTTTTATTTCAGTAGAGTGGTCCCATTGACTGTGTATGTTTGTAACAAGATATGGGTAGCTGTTTACCCTGTCAATTGTCTGTTGATTTACCAAAAGATGTGTATTTAATATTTCGCTCTTACTAACTACCATGTACTTTGTTTTTTTTTTTCGTATTGAAATTCAGACTTATATCTGATATGCGCGGTATTATTGCTTATAAACTATCTAGGCTGTCTGCAAAAACTACAGCATCGTCAGCATATCTAATGTTGTTTAGACTCACTCCGTTAACTAAGGCGCTTTCCTGTAGTTGTCCAGTGCTTGCTCAAAGATACGCTCTGAGTACATGTTAAATAGCACTGGAGACAGAATGCATCCTTGTCTCACTCCTCTATCTATGAAGATGTTGGCAGTTTGCCTGTAATATCAATTATATAATATAATTTGTAATATAAATTATATAATATAATATAATTCGAAAATTGTTTTAAATTAAATCAATTTTTAACCGGAAGTGACCATAGAATGGTTAGAGAAAAGGTAGTCTTGAACGTAAAGAAGTAACGAAGAAATATTGTAACAAGGACTAAAATTGTTACGTTCACTGCGATTACCAACACAAGGGCACACCAGGAAGAAATAGATAGAAACCTTCAGAATGACGTGCAAGATGAAACCGATATTGAACAACTTAACGAAAGGTTGGTGAATGCTTTAAGGCTTTTTTAGATATAGAAGGGGCATTGAATAATGTTACCACTAGCTCTTTAATAGGAGCTATGAGTAGACGAAGCGCACCTACGGTAATATGGAGATGAATAAGGGCATCCCTGGAGAATAGGACAGTAATGTTTACTTTGGGTAAAGCAACCATCAAAGCAAAAATATTCTGTCCCCTCTAGTTTGGGCAACGTTGGTAGATGATCTCCTCAGAAATCTGTCAAAAAAGGCTTTTATTGTAAGATATTCTGACGATCTAGCAATCGTTTTTAGGGGCAGGTTTGGTCAGGTGGTGTTTGAGAGAATACAAGCAGCCCTAACTATAGTTGACGACTGTTGTAAACAAGAGAGACTGATAGTCAATGCTCAGAAAACACAAATCGTCAACTTCACCAAAAAAACAGCACTACAAGTCTTAAAACCACTGGTGCTGGGGAGAACAGAAATTTTATTTGACAAAGCAACAAAATATCTTGGAGTACATTTTGATCATAGGCTTACATGGAATACTCACATGCTGAAAACCACATAGAAAGCTACTATGTCCCTGGACAGATGTAGTATGGTTATATACAAGGGTTATTAGACCCATGATAACCTATGGCTCGGTGACGTGGTGGACAAAGACGTAGCAAGTGGTAGCAATAAGTCTGCTAGGTAATATACAAAGGCTAGCATGTCTGTGTATTACGGAGGCCATAAAAACAACTCCTACTGCATCGTTGGAAGTTCTGCTGAATCTACCACCACTTCATATCTTTATACAGGGCTAAGCCAGATCTGTGATGCACAGATTAATCCATAGTCAGCGACATATAAGCCAGATGCATGGTACAGCTTTAACAATAAGTTCACAATTAAGATACTATGCAGGGAAGACTGGAATAAAGATGTACCCATACAAGCTGCTGCTACCTAGTACACGGATGGCTCAAAAACATCGGAGGGTGTGGGAGCCGGCAAAGTAAGGACAAATCAAGAGATACATTTCCCGGTAAGTCTATCTGAGGATGTGATAGTTTTCCAGATGGAAATAACGGCAATCCACCACTGCGTGGAAGAAATAAAAAGTCAGGAAAGACCGTTCTGTTTAGCTGTCATCTTCACAGATAGGCAGCGCTTAAGGCACTCAATTCTCTAGAGGTCAATTCTAAGCTAGTATGGAATTGCGTGTGTGTGCGCTAACTAAACTAGGAGACCGTAACAAGGTTACGGTAGCCTAGGTACCGGGCCACGAGGGTTATAAGAGCAATGAAAAAGCAGATGAAATGACCAAACAAGGCTCATCAATGCCATTCATTGGACCGGAACCCCTCTGCAACGTTGCAAAATCAGTAACAAGAACGGCTACAAGGAAGTAAGTAGCTCGCAAATCTCTGGAATGGTGGAGAAATTCACCAGGACGAAGCAGTTCATTACAGAACATTTTCCAATTTTACGGCAGACCTAATAGGCAAAGACAGGAAAACAGTCAAAGCCATAGTAGGTCTTCTAAAAGGGCACTGTAAGCTAAATAGGCACTTGAAGCTAATGGGACTATCAGATGATGACCTGTACAGATTCTTTCATCTCGAAGAAGAAACAGCAGAGCACATTTTTTGTCAGTGTGACAGTCTGGCAAATGTGCGGTGCTTTGCATTAGCAGAAGGAAATCCACCGGCAAATAGCTACATGGAAGGTACAGTCTCGAAGCTACTAGACTTTATAAAAAGGGTCAGACTAGAGAATGTTATCTAGGACTAGATGACCACAATAGATCTGAAAAGGTCGCAGTGGAATAGGCAAAAAGGCCGCTAAATTTAATCTAATCTAAAATTAGCTCATTCAAAAAATCTTATAAACAAATTAAATTCAACCTTATAAAAAAATACTCAATCGATCTAGCCCATCTTATTGCTGTTATTAACAATATTCAAAGACGGCGATTTTGCAATAACTTTTTTGTTATCATCCGATTTTAGTTTAACATATCTCATTTTGTGTATCTTTTTTTTTCTGAAAAAGTTGTCTGTTCACGTCAAATCTTTCAATATCCAAGTTTTTAAGTTGTGAACAAAATAATGAGTTTGACGTTTTGATTGTTTGTTTAAAAATATTTCCACTAAAAATGGATGAATCCCTAGATGAAAGTCTTTAATATGTCATACCACACATTTTAACTACTAAAAAACTATGTCAAACCCATACTAAACTGTTCCGTATCACAAACTCTGTTGATTTTTAAATTTTGCCCAATAGAAGATTTAAATTATTTCTTTTCTGATTTTAATTATACCCACTTACTCTATCATCGTTGTTTATGGAAAAAAATTGATGTTCCTCAAAAGTTCTGTCTAAGAATTCCTTAAGTATTTATAATGAACTTTTCTCGCCTTTGAGCTAATGGAAACAACTTCAGATTACTTAGACTTGATTCATAGTTTAACTTTTCATATTTAATAGGCAACTTAATAGCTTTACATCTACATTGTACTCCCTCTATTAAATTAAATTATTCTCCCTTGGGAGGTAAGGTGTATAAACCGACACTACAAATTAAATGTAGAAACATTATACAATACAACCTCGGTATAACGAATCTGAAGACTCTGAAAAAAATTGTTATATCAAGAATTTTTCAATAACGGGGATCGTTATATCGAGGTTAAATGCGACCAATATTCGTTATAAAGGGGTTCTTAAAGCTGAATCCAAACCTCTATAAAACGAATTTCTCATTACTTAACCTCAGTTTAACAAATAATGATTTACAGAATAACTGTAGACCTGTGTCTTAACTTAGAAAGTGCGCTACCAAAATCAGGGGAAAAACCTAAAATTTTTGAGAACAACGTAATTTATTTGACAAAGTTACATTCGTGTTGGAAATATAATATAAAATTAACAAATAAAAAACTACTTTACTACGTCCATCATTATTGAGTACCCTGATTATCGCTGAAAAAGTCAGTAATTTTTAATTGTTTACCTAGTTGTGTTAGGTTATCCATTTTACAATCCAGCACAGTGATAGATTTAACAACACCATCATTTAAAGCATTTTTTTTTAGAAAATAACACTTTAACACATTGAGGGCATCTCTTGCGTCCTTTTATGTAAAATCTGGTTGACTAACGAGTTCGTTATCCACGTCGTCTTCTGCTTCTTCTACTGTTTCTTGCTCCCCTGCCACGGAAGATACAATTTCAGCATCAGTGAGCTCTCCACAGATTACAACGTTATCATCCAAGTTGACAAACTCTTCAAAACCCAAGTCCACGTTTAAAGCCTCCCTTACTCTCGTCCAACATCCTTCAATTGGATCTGGTTGTTGAACTTCTGGATTGTCCTCATCTTGGTTTTGGTCACGATCATTTACTTGAAAGCAGCTTTTCTTGAAACAGTTGACAATAGTTTTATCGTTAACATTGTTACATGCCTTTGTAAACATCCACATAGCATCTAACACACTAATTTTGTTTGTAGATTGGCATTCCAAGTCGTTCAAAAATTGACGGACTTCTGTACTTGGATTTAAAATTTTGTATTATTCCTTGATCAATCGGTTGGAGTTTAGACGTTGTGTTTGAAGGCAGGAACTGAACTGAACACTGAATATCCAGTGCAATTGTCGATAAATAAAAG